GGGATTTTTATTTTATTTTATTATTTTTTTGCCTATAGCCACGAATCTGATCTAGCATATTTGTAAAGTTTGATCTAATTTGGTTTCATTTTTGGACAGCCACTGTATCCTCTGAAAGACAAACACTTGGACAAAGTTCTCAAGTACCCATTTTTTCACTTTATTTAATTAAACAGAACAGACTTTAAAAAAAGAAACAGAAAAATAAAAGGTGTAAAGCAACAAAATTACATGACATGAACCTTTGCATAATTTATTTCCAACCTTTGTTGGGTTGGAAAGCATAAAAAGAAAACAATTCTGTGCATGTGCAGCAGCTGTCCAAGCTGTCTGAACTGATTCAGAAGCATCCCATTTGATTTTATAATTTATCTTGATTTGCTAGTTGAAGTCAGGAAGGCAGGTCCTTTTCCGCTTGTAGACAAGACATTCATTTAAAGAATGTATTTTTCACAGGTAGATTTTTGGTGTCCATAGTTGAGAGAAAAGAGCTGCTAACTAGGCTGGGGCGAAGTCTGTTTTGGTAGAGCTTAGAAAACATCCCTCAAAATCAGTGATGTATTTCTTTTAGAATCCTAACATCCATTCAGAAGTCAACAAACTTCTGAAAGGAGAAGCAATGGCTGTGTAGGGACAGGCAAGGGGGAATAAAATAGAAAAAAATTAAGAAAGCACTATAGTTACATGGTTGAATTCTCACCTGTAATGGAATGTGTTAGATCATGGGTCACCAACCTCACTGAGGATTACGAGCACAGGTTTTCCAAGCAGAGGGAAGACCTGCGGGAGTACAAGGCCAGCTACTGGCACCTGGAGGCTGAGTGGGCTGAGATGGTCAGCTATTTCCAGGCCATGATGCAATCCTACTGGAACAAGGCCCTCCAGTTCTTCACCACCAGCGGCACTTCCCTCCAGCCTTTGCCCAAAGCCCCATACCAGGAGGCTGAAGCAGACCCCAAGTTGGAATTCCTGCCCCCCCCCCGATCCACACAAAAAGACACAGAAGGGGGAGACTCTCTACAGCAGCATAAACGTTCATTGCACGTATCAGGCCCAAGGGCCGTAGTTTGAGGACCTCTGATTTAGTGCAATATAAAGAAATGCAAATAATTTTTCTGCGGACGACCAAAATTTTCTCACGGACCATCAGTGGTTCACGGACCACCAGTTGGTGACCGCTGTGTTAGATTTGGAGAAAGAGGGGAAGAGATGCTGCCCTAGGAGACAATCTGAGGAGAGAGGCAGGATCCCCTCTGTGGCTAAACGTAAAGGGGAAAAAACCTAGGAAGGACCCTGATTATCAGGCTGTTAAATATGAGAGAAGAAAGTTTGTACTTTCAGAGCAAGATTCTGTTAATGTAGCCTTAACAATAACGTAGAATTAGTTTGTCTAGCTGTGATTCCTGTCTGCTTAACCTGGAAGGTTGCAAGTCTGAAAGTACAAAAGTACACTTCCCGTCGCTTTTAAGTACAACTCAAAGTACAAAACTTCCAGTGTAACTCACGTAATAACACTAAACTTCTGCTCCCAATTGTGGTCATTAAGTCAAGAATTACCTGTATACACTTGATTGCTTCATAAAAGGCCCTGAAGATCTTTCATGCAGTCCATAGCAGTGGTGAAATGTAAAATTTGTTACTACCGGTTCCGTGGGCGTGGCTTGGTGGGGGTGGTGGGGTAATGTGACTGGGTGGGCATGGCCAACTTTTTTTTTTTTTAACTTTTAAAAACATTTTTTCTACAACCTCTTCGGCCGATCCCAGAAATGCTCTGACAATCCCAGCTGAGTTGCCTGATCGTCAGAGGCTTTTTTTTTCTTTTAAAAGCATTTTTCCTACAACCTCTGAAGAGGTTGTTAAAAAATGCTTTTAAAAGCCTCTGATGAACAGGCAACTCAGCTGGGATTGTCAGAGCCTTTTAAAAGAATATTTTTTTTACAACCTCTTCAGCTGAAGAGGTTGTAGAAAAATGCTTTTAAAAGTTTTTTAAAAAGCCCCTGATGATTGCGCGGCTCAGTTGGGTATGGTGGGGGAGGGATTTTTGCTACCGGTTCTCCGAACTACCCCACTGCCATCGCTACTGGATCGGGTGATCCGGTCCGAACCGGGAGCATTTCATCCCTGGTCCATAGATACGTTATGACCAGCCCGCACCGTTTCCAGATTCGGTTCCAGAAAGGTGCTTCAGATTAGCTCAAGGCCGTGAATGCAGCCATGCCATCTTGAGAGAAGATACAGCTGCTTTAAAGAGTTATAGGCAAAGAGCTATATTCATGTTTCCATACATATTTGTATGGTAACCAGATCCACGGTGTTGCGCAAATTATAATATCCTATGGCTTTGGCTTTGCTTAAAAAAATATTTTCTAAAATGAAGGGTATTATTGCTGAAACTCAGGTTTCTCTTTTTCGGAAAGAGACTTCTGTTCTGAAGCAAAAAACGAAGCAGGGCTCCCCCCCGCCCCCCCAGTCTTTCCCTTTTGTCTCTAATTACTTCTTTTCTTCATCAGAAGTATTTAATGAGAGAATTTGCTGTGCTACGTTAGGCTGGAAGGAGGGAGATCATGAAATGTTTCAAGGGTGTCTCCCAACTTGTCTTCTCCTCTCCTCTTTTTTCTCCCCCCGAGTACATCTTTAATTATTACATATTGAAAATGACACATAATATAATTTAACATTATTTTAATCGCGATTCATAAGTCACATTTGGATGCACATTTTGCCCTTTTTCCTCCAATAGTGGATTAGACCAATAAAGTTGAACTCATAAATGTGATGCTTTCTAGGTGAATAATAATTTATGAGCCAATCTCTTTTTCCACTTATGGTGTATAAGAAGATGTATTCAAGTGTTCCATTTTTCATTCTGAAACCAATATATTTTTTGTCTGCCTCTCATCTATATTCTCAAACATTGCAGTTCTATTTAGTTTCTTTAAAGCATGCCTGTTACTGTGAGAGTCACAGTTCGATGTAGTGTTGAAGGGCATCAGGCTGGAAAACAGGAGATTCTGAGTTCTAATCTCACTTTGGGCACCGAGCCAGCTGGGTGACCTTGGGCCAGTCACACTCTCGCAGTCCTAGGAAGGAGGCAATGGCGAACCACATCTGAAATTGTGCCAAGAAAACTGCAGGGACTTGTCCAGGCAGATGTCAAGAGACAACAATGACTCGCACACACAAACACAAAGCACATCCACTCAATTGGATGTTATTGGATGAGGAGATACTATAAAACATGGCAATCCCTGTAAAACTAGGCTTTAAGTCAAGAAGGGCTGTATAGATAATAAACAGGGCCTTGAATTGTGCTCAGCAGCCCATGCTTCATATAGGCAATAGGAAAGGTTACAATGGACTGGTTTTTAAAGAGGCAACCTCTACACATCATAACGTTTGAAGTCTTTCAGTCAACCAGGAAGCCAGATTCACTGAACAACTATTTTATGAACTTAATAACTGCAGTGATTCACTTAACATCTGTAGGAAGAAGGTATGTAAAACGGGGGGGAGGACTCACTTAACAACTGTCTTGCTTAGCAATGGAAAATTTGCGCTCAGTTTTCATTGTAAATCAAGGATTATTGGTAACTGTCTCGGTATTTTAATTGCTGCTGTCATTAACAGAGTTTCTCATAAACTTCCACTGGAATCCGCCTTCCTATAAGGCAAGAGAGTTTGTTATTCCATGCTCGGGAGCGTGACCTTTATCTGTAGGATACTTCTTCAGATACTTGAACAGAGCTATTACTCCAACTCCAGTCATTCTTTTTTTTAAGGCTGATTATGCCCCGTGCGCACCCCACCCACCCAGTTGTTCTTAGCAGAATTCACTTCCTCAAACTTCCCTGAGCTACTTTGAGTTTGGTATTGATAGTTTAAGTGCAGACATTGTGGTACCTAGAACTGGATCAAGAGTTCAAGTGCTGGTTGGGCCAAACTAAAGGACTTCAAAACATTGTTGTGTATGGATCCTAATCGGGTGAAATGCTACCAGTTCGCTCCGGTTCGGGCGAATCGGTAGCAATAAAAAAAGCTACCAGTTCAGGAGAACCGGTAGTTTAAAAAAAGCTACCAGTTCCTCAGAACCGGTATTTCCAACGATCAGCTGTGCTGCGTGGTTTAGCTTTGCTAGAAAGCAGGAAATCCTGCGCGCGCATGTGCAGCACGCGCCAAAAGGAGGCTTGGGAAGGTAAGTAGAACAGTGAGGATCAGCTGTGCCATGCAGTTTAGCTTTGCTAGAAAGCAGGAAATCCTGCTTTCTAGTGAAGTTAGATCATTTCTAATGAAGTTAAATTGTTAAATCGGATTGCCCCCCCCCCTCGCTGTTCTACTTACTTTCCCAAGCCTCCTTTTGGCACATAGTGTGGATGCACACATACACACAGCGTGCGTTTGATGCGCACTGTGCATGCATGCACATCGCATGCTTGGCGCACAGCGCGCATCCGCAGCCAGCGAACTGATAGCAAACCAGTTCAGATTTCACCACTGATCCTAATGTGGTAATGTTAGTCTTATTCTGTGTTTCCCCAAAAATAAGACCCTGTCTTATATTTTTTTGAACCCTGAAATAAGCGCTTGGCCTTATTTGCTATGCCCTCAAAAGCCCAATTGGGCTTATTATCAGGGGAGGTCTTATTTTGGGGAAAACATGGTAAAAATGGGGAAACACAGATGCTGTCTGGAAATGATGAGAATTCCCCAAATCGTCTCTTCTGGGGAGCAGGATGTTTGGAGAAAACTAATCAGTGCCATCTTCTTCGTTTGCAGATATATGAAGTAAGATTACCATGACTAGGAAGGCCTCTAACGGCAGCTATTTTAACTGGCTGCCATTTGAAGCTGGCTTTTAGGGAGGCTGCTTACATGGGGCTCACAGCCAGCAAGACATTTCAACAGCCCTCCTTTAAGTCGGTTTTAAATGCATTTTACTTTTCAATCTTTTCCAACCAGTCAAGTTGTGCATTTAAAAAAGAGTAAATAACCAATATCTCAAGTAGCAAGTATTAATGCAATTTTATTGTGGGATCTGTTATTTTTAATAAACTTGATTTTGCACAACACTTAGCAGTTTCCCCAAAAGGTGGCAGATCCCTCGCAAATAAGTCCTCGACTTACAACCATTTTTTTTAGCAACCATTCGAAGTTACAACATTGAAAAAAGTGACTTATAACCGGTCCTTGCAATTACGACCATCACAGCATCCTCATGGTTACATGATCAAAATTTGGGTGTTGACAACCGATAAGAATTTACAAGGGTGGCAGCTTCCTAGGGTCATATGATCGCCCTTTGCAATCTTCCCATAAGCAAAATCCAATTGGGGAAGAAGATGGATTCTTTAAATGACTGCATGAATCACTGAACAGCTGCTGTGAATCATTTAACTGTGGCAAAAAAAAAAAAAGGTCATAAAATTGGAGGTGACTCACTTAACAACCGCCTTACTGGGTAATGGAAATTCTGACTCAATTGTGGTCGTAAGTTGAGGACATCCTGTAAGGCAGAGGGGCATTATTTCTGCTGGTTTGGGGGCTGCAGGCGGCTTTGTGTGGTATTTTGGAGGCAGCAATTCAAAAGTCAAAGGCGGTAGATCCAACCAGAGTATTGGCTCAGAGATTTTTAGGAATAAAATGGGTACCTCAGCAACAACAAGATTTGTTCTTAAATCCATTTAGCTTTACGCACAAAAAAGATAGAGAAATGTGGAACCCAAAACATATTTTCTAGACTCCTGCATTACCCTCCTGTCATTTTCCCTAAGGGATTCCTTTACTTCAAGATGCTTTTATCAAGGTTTGGGCACTCTGCTTCTCTTTCTGCCCCCCGTTTCTTCCTAATGTATGGATGTTACCGCCGTTGGAGTTTAAAAACACACAGAGAGATTTCTAACCGTCTTCTAAATCAGGCTGGACATTCTAGGATGTTTTAAGCTGCTTTGAAGGGATGTGGTGGCTCAGTGGGTAAGATGCTGAGCTTGGCAATTGAAAGATCAGCAGTTCAGCGTTCAAATCCCTAGTGCCGCGTAACGGGGTGACCTCCCATTACTTGTCCCAGCTTCTGCCAACCTAGCAGTTCTAAAGCACATAAAAAATGCAAGTAGAAAAATAGGGACCACCTTTGGTGGGAAGGTAACAGCACTCCATGCGCCTTTGGCATTTAGTCATGCCGGCCACATGACCACGGAGACGTCCTGACAGCGCTGGCTCTTCAGCTTTGAAGCGGAGATGAGCACTGCCCCCTAGAGTTGGGAATGACTAACACATATGTGCGAGGGGAACCTTTCCCTTTACCTTTTTAAGCTGCTTTGAGAGAGGCTCATCGTAGAGCCCTACAATTGCACCATCAGAATTCAGTAGCAAATGGCCAGGCATCAGAAGCACAATTTCCTATGAGAAACAAAGGACACAAATCACTTTAGACTTCCAGTTAAGTTGCCCAATTAAAATAAAAATGTTCTGCAGACCCAGCCTCGGTCCAAAAGTGATGCCATGACAAAAAGCACATGACATAATCTCTGGCCTGCAACAGCAGAGCCTCCCTTCATGCATCAACTTGGGTCAAGTTCTCCATAGTCTTCTGCTGGCCCACTTTTATATGTTACTCACATACATTTCCGCAGGGAACTAGACAACCTCGTGGATGCAGTCATGAAAACAATTCCAGAACTCTTCCACCTGGGAGGAAGTGCTATTTGACTGTAAAGCTGCCACTTCCCATCCGAAGCTCATGAAGACGATGATCTCCTGATCATTCCATTGTTCCCCAAACAGGTGACCAGGAAGATAAAAGCCTGTGAATCATTCCAGTTGGATCTGGGGAAGAAGAAAAAAAGGAACACCGGGGCCATTAAAACTCTTGTCCTTCTGACCCGAAGATCAGACTCGGGACAACTGCTGGATGTGGAGTTCACTTTGTCAAAGCAGCAGAAGGAAAAGACACAAGGGTGTTTATTTCCCTTATTAAGGAAGGGACAGCAGTTTGGAGTGTCCTGCCAATACCAAGAATATGGCTTTGCCTGGAACTGGGTGTTGATTCAAATGACTCTCCATGAAGTGGGGGGGGAGGGGAAATCTCCTTTTACTATTGCGTCTGTCATCTGCACCTCTATAACTGTCTGCTTTGGTTCTGCAACCCAACAAGACTGACACAGAACTTCAGAGGATAATTAGAACTGCAGAAAAAACAATTATTACCAACCTGCCTTCCATTGAGGACCTGTATACTGCATGAGTCAAAAAGAAGGCTGTGAAAATATCTACAGACCCCTCGCATCCTGGACATAAACTGTTTCAACTCCTACCCTCCAAACGATGCTATAGGGCTATACACATCAGAACAACTAGACACAAGGACAGCTTTTTCCCGAACGCCATGACTCTGCTAAACAAATAATTCCCTCAACACTATCAAACTATTCACTAAGACTGCATTACTATTACTATTAATCTTCTCATCGTTCCTATCACCCATCTCCTCCCACTTATGACTGTATGACTGTAACCTTGTTGCTGGTATCCTTAAGATTTATATTGATATTGTTTTCTAGTATGGTTTGATTGCTTATTTGTACCCTATGACTATCATTAAGTGTTGCACGTTATGATTCTTGACGAATGTATCTTGTCTTTTTATGTACACTGAGAGCATCTGCACTAAAGACAAATTCCTTGTGTGTCCAATCACCCTTGGCCAATAAATCTATTCTATGCTATGCTATGCTATGCTATGCTATGCTATGCCATGCCATGCCATGCCATGCCATGCCATGCCATGCCATGCTATGCTATTCTATTCTATTCTATTCTATTCTATTCTATTCTATTCTATTCTATTCCTCTTTTATTCTATTCCATTCTTTCTATTCTCTATTCTATTCTATTCTATTCTATTCTATTCTATTCTATTCTATTTTTACCATAAAGCAAAGTTCACCACTATGTTATCAATTCTTTCTGCCTTTTTCCCTCATTTTCATTCCATTTCATGGAAAATAAAATTGCTATTGAACTCCTCTTCCCCACCCCCTGAAATGGGGAGCTTTTTTGGTTCATTCTGAAGGGTGGGATCCAATGTTCTGCCTTCTACCATAGTGACTTCATGTTCAAGAAGTGTGATATAGTGTTCTCACTTGCAATGCATAATCCTCTTTCCGTTGATCATTGGCCTCCAGGCTTCCTATACTTCCAATCAATTGCAAGGGAAATTCCCAGGGAAAAAATTCCTTCTAGCAGCAGCAAAGACCAAGAAGTGATAAAAAAAATCTTTCAGAGGGTAGATATGGTTTCGAGAAGTAAATCCTGACCCTGGACTATGGACACAAGTATAAAAAGAGCAATTTCACTAGATACCACATCTGTCACCTTGCCTTTTGAGATCCTCCTCTGGCTTGTCCACTTCCTAGGGAACTTTTTCATATCGGGAAATGCAGGGAATCTGAGAAACTGCAGTGATGGAACAGTCTGTAACAGAAAACTAAAAATTGCCAGCATATTTCACCAACTTGCCATAATAGAACATGGCATTAAAACACACAGACCGAATAAAGATAGGTAAGGTAAAGGTAAAGGTTCCCCTTGCATATATGTGCTAGTCGTTCCCGACTCTATGGGGCAGTGCTCATCTCCGTTTCAAAGCTGAAGAACCAGTGCTATCCAAAGTCATCTCTGTGGTCATGTGGCTGGTATGACTAAATGCCAAAGGTGCACGGAACACTGTTACCTTCCCACTAAAGGTGGTCCCTATTTTTCTACTTGTACTTTCGAACTGCTAGGTTGGCAGAAATCGGGACAGGTAACAGGAGCTCACCCCATGACGCAGTGCTAGATATTCAAATCGCTGAACTGCCGACCTTTCAATCGACAAGCTCAGCATCTTAGCCACTGAGCCACCGTGTCCCTCTAAAGATAGGTTAAGCCAGGTAATAGATAGATAAGACAGAGAGACAGACAGACAGACAGACAGACAGACAGACAGACAGACAGACAGACAGACTGATTGACTGACTGACTGACTGACTGATTGACTGACTGACAGACAGACAGACAACTCTGGTGGTCCAAATATCAAAAACTATGGTTATCCAAATATCACTGCAGTAGATTGTAGTCTGGATTCCCAGAAGGGTCTGCATTCCAGAAGACTGAAAGACAAAGAAGCTTAGATACAGTAGTTGGTTGGAAGACAGAGAGTTAAGACAGCTCCAGTTTAGAAATTCTCTTGAATAATGCCAGTAGGCACTTTGGTTTGGTAAAATGTTTGTCTATCGGCAAGGAGCAAGTTCCAATTGGGTAAAGGTTTTGTAAAATGTTTACCTTTTTAATATTGTAAACAGCCCAGAGTTGTCTTGCGGTAAGATGGGAGATCGATATGAAAGGAACTGTTTAGAAGTCACTCCATATGTGTTTCTTGTTTTGGGGGGGGATCTGGACATGTGCCCGCAAACCAAGCCAGCATGGCTCACACAAGTTATATTCCGAACATCATTTGCAACCTTTTGTCATGATGCAACTTACTTAATTCATGCCATTTGTATAATGACCTCATGGTGAGCATGATGTCATCATGGCTTCTACCAGACATTTGTGGTTCTTGGAGTTGTAGTTTAGCAACCTCTGCAGGCTGGTTATGTTCTAAAGCACTATGGAAATTAGGAAGAGAAACAAAAACTGTTACTGGAGAGAAGAAAAATTGGGGGAAGTTGTAAAACACATTTCAATACTGATGTTATTTCTTTTAAAAAAAATCTTACCTGTTCATGTTATGCTCCTTATATTTAGTCCTAATAGGAAAGAAAACAAGGTGCTAAAATGGAATCTTTGGCTGATAAATCCTTGAGTTGATATCCATTCAATTGCTTGCTGGAATTTCAAGGCTCTAGCGTGTAAAAACAAATTATGAAATTTGGTCAATATAGATATTCCCAAAGTGAACGACATTGTCTAAAGAGGAACAAAATTATGTGAAACAGAGTAGGATGAAAGGAAACATTTGTTCCCAAACTTAGGTTTGATATGAAATTAGTGCTGGATTTGTTATAGATGTTCTGTAGACTGATGTGTAATGAACACCATACTTTAATGTAGCATTTACACAAACATTCAAGTATAACTACAAAAAGGAAGTGATCCCTCAGTGGTTGTACCTGATTTTATTTATTTTATTTTATTGTATTGATAGGCCACACATTCCATCATGCCTCTGAGCAATTCACAGAATAAAAAAATGTATCTTAAAAAATTCATACATAGGAAATGTTATATAAGAATTGGCAATCAGAGTCTATTTGTTACCCATTTCATTTTGATTTGCAGATTTGCAGTTTTCCTTGCACAGAATATAGAACTGCTGCCAATTGCTGAATTTATCCTCAAACAATAATTCAGGGATATTAGCAAGGATATGTTTAGAATTATAATTTCTAACCCATGTTCAAATGACTAAATAGCCTTCTCATTGATCTCCATCGTCTTGTTCTTTCATAGTTCTGAAATAAATGCAGGCACATTCAGGAATCCAAGCATGACTGATAACTATCATTCTCTATTTGATTACATTGTGTCTTACAGATACCTTTTTACTAATGATCCTTTATGTTTTATTTAGAAGGGAAAGAAACATCCAAGAACATTCATTTTCTAATTTTAAATAGAGAGCAGAGATTCCATAAAAATAACACCCATTTATTCAACAACTGAAATGTAATTTAGTGAGCAATAAATAAATATTCCATAGAAGCAAAATCCAAGAGTGAAAACAAACCTGTTTTAACAGGATAAGTTTCCCTCACTAACAAAGGATTTAGTTTAGATGAGGCATCAAACCCCCAAATGAGTATTACATAGAAGCAAAAAGTTAGATTTTTTGTCTGTCTGTCTGTCTGTCTGTCTGTCTGTCTGTCTGCCTGCCTGCCTGCCTGCCTGCCTGCCTGCCTGCCTATCTAGCTATCTAGCTAGCTAGCTAGCTATCATCTATCTATCTATCTATCTATCTATCTATCTATCTATCTATACATACATATCTTTGTTGCTATCTAGTGGTCATCCCAAGTTTTATAACTCAGGCGTGGAAACCCTCACGAAAGAGGTTATGGGAAATTTATTTACAAAATTGGAAATGATGTAATGGACAGAGAGGGAGAGAGAGAGAGAGAGAGAGAAAGGAAATGATGATACAGTATCTAGAATTTGTCGGGGGTGGAGGGTGGTTAGGTAGACTTTTCTGTGCCTGTAAAGGAAATTATAAAAACACAGTTTTCTAACAGCTGGAGATTAATAGGCAGAAAAATGATTCAGACTCAGTAAATGCAAGAAATGGCAAAAGAAATACTGGATATTACTCTAATTATGATTCAATACTGGTCTTTATATATATATATATATATATATATTCAATTTATCTCTGTTGTCGACTTGAAAGACAATGGATTGAATTCCACTAACAAGAACATTTCCCAGTATTGCTCAGAACATTTCCACTAGAAAAAAAAAGGGGGGGGAGAAGACTTCGCCGTCTTTGGTCCAACCTAAGCATAGTACATAAAATCATCTGCCACAATGTCCTTCCTGTCAATGACTACTACAGCTTCAACCACAACAATACACGAGCAAATAATAGATACAAACTCAAGGTAAAGCGTTCCAAACTCGATTGCAGAAAATATGACTTCAGCAACAGAGTGGTCAATGCCTGGAATGCACTACCTGACTCTGTAGTTTCTTCCCCAAACCCCCAAAACTTTAACCTTAGACTGTCTACTGTTGACCTCACCCCATTCCTAAGAGGTCTCTAAGGGGCGTGCATAAGCGCACCAGCGTGCCTATCATCCCTGTCCTAATGTTTCCTTTTATTCGTATCCTTTTCACAGATTTATAATTATGTTTACACTTGTATCTGTCATAAAATACATGCTTGACGAAAATAAATAAATAAATAAAATAAAATTTCAATCACTCAAATTCTCTGCACTCACTAGCCCTGCTTTCCTAATCCTCCAGTAGAAAGAAGTCTTTAGTGGGGAGGGTAATAGCAGACTGCAAAAGCAAGGGAAATGAAGGATGGCCCTGTCCTTTTTCCATCATGAAAAACACTCTATTGGACTGAAACCTTCATCAAATCCGGCCTTCCTTTCCTCATTCCTTCCCTATTCCCTAATCAGAGAATGTACTGATCTGAAACTGGCTTCATTTAGGATTTGGTTCTATGCTAAAGGAGACATTATAGGATAATTGGAAGAAGTCTAATCAGAGCACAAACAAATAGCAATTGGTCAGCTTCAATTGCCTCAACACCCTTCCCATCTCTACTCTCTGCCATGTGAAACCCTTGTTTAGTGACACATATGTGGTTTTCAAGCAGTTGGCAAGAAAGCGAGCCATGCTTGAAACTCCTGGGATCCATTTCTAGATGTACTCTAGATATACTCAAGAGAATTAAAATTTTTCAATTCAGTTTAATTTGCTAAGCTTTAGAAACAGGAGATAAAGAATTTCCGGACTGTCTAGACTCTTCAGATCTGCTTAGATTTGAATCACTGAGATTCAATATATAATTAGGCGTGATTTTTTTTAATTTTGATTTTGACTAATTCCAACTGGATTTAAGCACACTTGACACAGAATGAAGGGCATCTGCTTCAGGAAAGAAGATATAATAGGCATTTACCTTAGTTTCCATTTAGTTTTGAACCCAATCTGCTAAAATCAAACCAAGCTGCTAATTTACCCAAACAAGAAACAGAATTAGCCACAAAATTAAGAAGTCAAAATGTATGTCCATATGATGCAATCCTGCAGGAGAAATTTCTTAGAGGTATTTAAATGCTATCTCTTCTTGTACTGATTCTGAAATTGATCTGGACATTTCTATTTATTAAATACAAACAGAAAGGTTGACAAGGCAAATTAAGTTCATACAAATTAACTCATCTTATTATTATTATTTTTTTCTCACTTAGCCACAGTGAGATAAAACTGCCTGTGGATCTCTGCCTATCCCTTCCTGCCAGAAGCAAACTAGAATTTATTGGACATATGTTTGCATTCCACTTAATACAATAATGCGCCAATATTTTTCAGATCAACTTTGTTAGTAATTCATGAAGAGACTATTTATACTCATCATAATATGTTTGCAGGCATAATGTATTGCATAAATCTGAATAAAAAATATTTAGTTATTAACCAAAATATAAGGTAAAACAAATACTAAGTTACATTCTGAAAAAGACCTCTGTGTGTGTGTGTGTGTGTGTGTGTGTGTGTGTGTGTGTGTGTGTGTGTTATATAATCATTTTCAAAGAGGGTTGTTTGGGGTCATCTGCAACTTATTTAAAGAAAAAAGGATGAATAAATATTGAATTACAAGGACGATTATTCCCATCATAATTCACCTATTTGTAATGACTTCTCGTTATCGCAGGGCTTCTTCATAGCCATAGATGTGAAGGAGGCCTCGTTCCCTCAGCAATTTTACCCCTATCAGATTATCTCATCTGATTCTATTATTTCTTTCCCATAAATCTGCTAACAGTGATTTGTTATTTGTGGCCCTGTTAACGGATCTGAAGCACTGTTAAAAGGATTTATCTAGCTTTGTGTCTAAGAGCAGTTGATGTCTTCAGCTTTTGTCACTCCGGCGTTTGGGAAATCAATTTGGTGGCTTTTCATACTTAAATTCAGTGGACACCACTCAGTTCTGCACCATAAAATAAGGCTCTGGATAAACAAAAGGTGCAGTAACTGTACTTAATGTGTTGGCCTTGATAGATGAGTTTGTTTAAGTCATAGCAAATGACACTCAAAGTCAATATAACTCACAAGACTTATACTGGCCCCTTTTGCAAATCTCCCTTCTGCTTGTTTACTCAGCCAAGGAAGACATGAAAATACACACTTGAGAGGGGTTTTTTCTTCCCTTTCTTTAATTTCTCACCGATAGTGGTGCGAGAAGAGGGAGCTCCTCTGTACAAAATCCACCGACTGTGCTTATTTTACACAATTATATATGTCTGCATGTGAGCACACACAGAAAGAGTGTATTTGGGAGACTACCCTGAACTGAAGCTCTCAAGAGAACCTGTGTGCTCCCAAAAGTCAAGTGCTTGAAAAGTACAGAGCATATTAAAAGACAGTTGATTGAATCATCTCAAGTAAATGGAATCAAAACCCCAAATTGGCAGTGAGCAAGCTGAAGGAATTGAACTCTGTTGGCTCTTTGGTGGTCTGGACACTTCTAATGGACATATGAAAATGTGCAGGTGCTACAGAAGAACTCCAGCCTTACCTGGAAATTGTTCAGATGCTCATTGTAAGCAGTTAAACACTACAGGACGATCCTACCAATAGTGAGAGTTTAGGGAAGAAAAAAGAGAGAGAGAGAGAGAGAGAGAGAAGACTTTTGATTTTAAACCCCTATCCGTTTGTGCTATATAACAACCAATATTTGACAGCTCCCTCATCTGTCATAGGTTAATAAGACTAATATGCACCTCCAGTAATTTGTCTTAATACTTTGGAAGTTTGAGCTCAGTCGTGTTTATAGCCCTCCGTTGCACTGCTATCTCTCAGCACAGATTGTGTTAGCCAGATGTGGTTTTGGCATTCCCTGTTTTATCCTTCAGAGCTAACTGGGCTGAGAAAACAGAGAACAAGTTCTCATTTGGTACATGTAGCATACTTAGATGGCAAATCATCTAATTCAGAGGGACCCCTTTCAAGCGTCCATCCCCCCAAAAATGACTGCTGTTCATTTGATTTGTTCATGCCACAACTGTTAATTTCTCCTCGCAGTCTTAAAAACGAAACAATCTATTGTGCTACATTCAGAAGAGCAAGGAGAATGTACGAGACATGGCATGAGTGACTCTTTGGACTGACAATTCCTGTTGACACCCCACCCCCCTATGATCATAAATCAAACCGGGTGCATCATATTCACCTTTTCATAAATTCCATGTTTTGAACTTAAGTCAGGAAAGCACCTTTCTTTAGGAGCTTCCGGTAAAGTGTTCTGATAACCCATGCCTGTAAGCATGCAGATGCTTCCCAAATCAATTTGTGATGTTATACGACAGCCCAACCACCTCTTTCAAACTGTTCCTTGTTACCAGTTAAACACAAACTTGATCATTTTGAATTCTGGCTGTCAAGATTGAGCAATGTCAGGGCATACACATACGAAGTCTCCCTGCCTTTTCTTTCGCCAACTTCAGATTCTGAGACTCTTGGCAAGCTCTTCTAAGGACCTGCTTCAGTCTCCACTAGCAGATCCTTAGAATTGGGCAAAGACTGTTTCAGTAGGAAATTCAAAGGTGGTGTTTGGTGGGGGGGGAAATAGTTGAAGCCAATGTAGTGGGGTGCAATGTTCAGAAGCCTGGTTTAATATATGACTAAGTGTCAAGAGTCAGTTTTCTGAGAATTACTTTTCAGATAAACAACTTTATAGCACTACACTTAATCTTGCCTACTCGAGACATATCATTTATCACCAAATTACTAGTAACTTTAATCCCTGTTGTGAAGTCAGCTGGAAATCAAAGCTGAAAGTTTTACAAAATTTTCGTCTTATCTTAGGATAAGAGGGAGAGGGAGAATCATAAATACACACAACTCCACACAGTACCCAGAGACTAACAAGAACAGTGTCCCTTTTGAGTCTTACTTTCTAGAAATATACTTGCAGGCCGTGTCCTAAGGGGAGAAATCATATTGATAAGGAAAAGTTGGTAAAACACAACATCCTGTTATTAGCTCCAACTCCAGAATAAACGATCCGGCAAAGCCATGGAAACGTCTCGGACGCGAAAGAGTTAATGTCAGACTGTCGTGCCGACGCTAAAAGCTCTTAACTTTTTTTTCCCCCTTTCTTAAACGAGTTTCTAGTATGGATTTTTTTTCCCCAGTCTAGAAAATTGGAAGCGGTTCAGTATGAAACTGGTCTGTAGGCGAAAGGTGGCGCTGTCGAGGTTTAAACGGAGCGCGAGTCAACTGGATTTTGTTTTAACTCGGTTCTTATTTTTGCTATTAATTTTTTTTTTTAAAAAAAAGCACCCCTCGCCGCCGCCGCCGCCGCGAAGCCAGAAAGAGCGCACGTGACTGTTTTAAAATAATTAATTGAACAGACCGTCCGTCTTTTGCAAACGAGACCCCGGTTGCATTGAAACAAAAGTTTGCAGAAATTCTTAAGGCTCCTGCTGCCTTCTTCCTCTGGTTTTAATTCTTTCCCTTTCCTTCCCTCCCCTCCACCCCCGTCCCAAGAAAAAGCCACTTCAAACTTATGTTTAAGATCTAGGAATCCTCTTTAAACGAACCAGAGGAGGGGGAGAGAGAGAGAGAAAAATAACCGATTGCTCTAGGAAGAAGAGCATATTCGTGGCTTAGCAATGAGCCACTTGTCTTAAACTTTCTGACCTCTCACGGTGCTATCGATCGGAGGCGGGCGAGGAGATAGATCAAGGCTTAATATATATATAATTTTGACCCGGAGGCGCCTTGTCCTGGACTCGGAAAACTCCGAGGCACGCAAAAGGCCGAAATCGCGGCTGAAAAACGTGCAAAAAAAACCCCGGTTCGGGCTCGTGTCTGCGCTGGGAAAAAGACTCCGAATTCACTCCCTTTAGACCCCAAAAGGCTACGGGCCGTTTGAAGCACCCCTTCTCCCCGTTCCTCGTCTAGAAAGAGAAAGCTGAACAATATGCAAGATCTATTTTGGGGGGATCTCTAGAGAGCCGGTTAGGACACTCCAGTCTTCTGGGATCACCGCTCAAGATGGGATCTATTTCCAGGACGTTAATACCTGGAAGTCTTGGGGGAATCTGCGTGGAACTTCGCTCGCTCGCCCGCGCTGTCTGTCTGTCTTTCTCACACAGAAAGACTCAAACGCTTGGAAGGAAGGGAAGCCAGGAGTTAATCCACTCGAATATATATGTACTCCACATGTGCAAACGCGCTAGGGTGCACAAATTCACGGCAGCCTCCAAAAAACACAAAACCCCAAAACGCAGGTAGGGAAGTGAGAGACGGTGCATAGAGCACCCTTACCTATTATTTCTCGCGTTTTCTTTTGCAGAGTTGAGAGTCCTAAGCAGATGTTTAATAGTTTTCGGGGTCTCTCTCTCTCTCTCTCTCTCTCTCTCTCTCTCTCTCTCTCTCTCTTTCCTCTTTTCTCACCCCCCCGCTTTTCTCCCCATCTCTCTTTTTCCCCCCCCTCTCCCCTCCTAATGAGTCCGAGGCGGCGCTCTCGGTTAAGAAAGAGTTAAAAAGTTTGGGTCCCAACTGACAGTCAGCTGATTGGCTCCTGATTGACAGCTTTGAAAAGTTTCCTTGTTTCTATACTATTATGCTAATGAGGAGCTGGGTTCGCGGCCGCGGATTGGCGTCGAATCCCGATAGGAGCGTGACGTCAGGGACTCTATAAAACTCAGCAATGCTTTTAAACTGTCCTCCCGGTTCATCTCTTTAAGATATTTTTTCATCTTGCCGTTGAAGCTGGGGAGTCGAAGGGTTGTTATTATTATTTTTTTCTCTCCCTTATCTTTCTTTCTCCCCTTTGCAGAACTTGGGGAAGGAAGGTCCTCGCGCCCGAAAACCCTCTCGCTTTTCAAGCCTCCCCCTCGCCTTTTAAAAGAATACGATCTTAGCGACCTACCTTGCTCTGATTTTATTTTTATTTTATTTTTTTAAAAGCATCAGCCGCGTTCTTCTTCTTTTTTTTTTCTTTCCTTGGTGCTGAAACTCTTTCTCTCTCTTTTCGTTTGGATCTCCGCCCACGGAAAAGAGGGAAAGAAAAAAGAGGGGAAGAAACACCATGAAGTGTTAAAAAAAAAAAAAAGACAGACAGACAGACAGCAAGAAAGAAAGCCAAACAATCCTTTTCAAATCAACGAGGAACCGCTAAGTAACCTTTCCCTATAAAACTGCCTTTGCGGAGCTGCAGAAAGAGAGAGCGCGAGCGAGAGAGAGAGAGAGCCGCGAGCTCGCAGAGGAGAAAAGGGGAGGGAAGAAAGAGAGAGAGAGTGAGTGAGAGAGAGAGAGAGGAGGGGAGGGGAGGGGAAAGAGAGAAAGAAAAACGAAAGAAATCGAGGCGGCCGGATGCAAAAGGCGAGCAAATAGCACGAGCGAAGAGGAGGAGGAGGAGGAGGCAGCAGCAGCGAAGGCACGGCCGCTCCGCGGGTTGCCGGCTGCAGCCGAGCGGCTCTTTTGTCAAGAGGGGAGCCTCCGAGCCCGGGTGCGAGGCGCTGTTTGCTGCTGCTGCTGCTGCTACTAGCTAGCTGGCTGGCTGGCTGAATCCCGGCTCTCTCCGGCAGAGCGAGCGAAGCAAGCGGAGGAGGAGCAGAGCGCAGCTCCGGACAGCAGCTTTCCCGAGGCTCCCGCGAGGCGACCCAGCAAACTGGCTCATCCGCTGGCAAGTCAGAGCAGCCCCCTGGCTCCGGGAGCTCACGCTTTCTGGAGGACGGGCGGCGGCGGCGTTGGCGTTGGCGGCGGCGGCGGCAAGAGGATGGCATCGGACCTGGCCCTGCACAGCGCCGACCTGCCCACTAGTCCCTTGGCCATGGAATATGTTAATGACTTCGATCTGATGAAGTTCGAAGTGAAAAAGGAGCCGGTGGAGACGGACCGCATTATCAGCCAGTGCGGCCGCTTGATCGCTGGGGGATCGCTCTCGTCCACCCCGATGAGCACGCCGTGCAGCTCGGTGCCTCCGTCGCCCAGCTTCTCGGCTCCGAGCCCGGGCTCCGGCGGCAGCGATCAAAAAACTCACTTGGAAGATTATTACTGGATGACCGGCTACCCGCAGCAGCTGAATCCGGAGGCTTTGGGCTTCAGCCCCGAAGACGCGGTGGAAGCCCTGATCAACAACAGCCACCACCAGCTTCAGAACGCGGCGGCCGCGGCTGGCTTCGAAGGCTATGCTAGAGGGCAGCAGCTGAGCGGCGGAGGCGGCGGAGGCGGAGGAGGCGGCGGCGGCTCGGGGGGAGCTGTGCCGCCGGACGAGATCGGTTCGGCGGCCGCCGTGGTGTCGGCGGTGATCGCGGCCGCGGCGGCGCAGCAGCAGCAACAGCAGCAGCAGAACGGCGGCGGCGCGCCTCACTATCACCATCACCATCACCACCACCCGCCCGGCCACCACCACCACCATCATCCGCAGCCGCAGCAGCCGGGCAGCGTGCAGTCTTCGGCCAGCAGCACCAGCAGCAGCACCAGCGGCGGCAGCAGCGGGGGAGGCGGCGGGGGTCTCCACCACCAGCACCACGGTGGCAGCGGCGGCGGCTTGCATTTCGACGACCGCTTCTCCGACGAGCAGCTGGTGACCATGTCGGTGAGAGAGCTGAACCGGCAGCTGCGGGGCGTCAGCAAGGAAGAGGTGATCCGGCTGAAACAGAAACGACGGACCCTGAAAAACCGAGGCTACGCGCAATCCTGCCGCTTCAAGCGAGTCCAGCAACGGCACGTCTTGGAATCCGAGAAGAACCAGTTGCTCCAACAAGTGGAACATCTGAAGCAGGAAATCTCCAGGCTGGTCCGGGAGAGGGACGCCTACAAGGAAAAATACGAGAAATTGGTCAGCAGCGGGTTCCGGGAAAACGGTTCCAGCAGCGACAATCCCTCTTCTCCAGAATTTTTCATGTGAGTCTTCTCTCTCACCTCCCCCTCCCCCTCCCCACCAACCTATGCACCCATTCCGCGATTCAGAAACCCCCCCTCACCCCCAGTTCTCCGACCCACGAACCCCCTTTCGCCCCACCCCAACAGCCTCTTTGCCACTCTTCAGAGCACACGCAGGCACGCACACACACAAACAGGGGCGACCAAGCACGTGCGCAAAAGTTCCTTAAGGCTGGAAGAGGGAGGGGGGAGAAAAGGTCATCCAGTTGGTCCCCGTGTTAATTATTGTTCAACTTGGGCCGTCCGAATAATACCTGCTATGTACGTGCCACCAATATCGTCCTATTCTGTTTCAAAGGATAAAGGCAACTTTTGGTGGGACTTTTTAAGGTGGGCTGACTCAGAGGGGTCAACCTTACTAGGTCTTGACCTTTCTCTCCCTTTTCCAGCCGTTAGCTTGTGTGTGTGTGTGTGTGAGTGTGCCTGCAACCCAACTTCCATCAACTCATCTGAAGTTTGCTCAGACTTTTTTTTTTTAAAAAAAAAACAATCTGCTCTATCCAAAATACAAAACACCAATTTTGCCACCCTGAATTCTTCCTGTGGGGTATGAACTTTAGATATAGATAGGTGCATAATGCATATTGATATGTCTGTGTTCATATACCCGCGTGAATGCAGACATATTTCGAGGACGTTTGACTGAAATATTTAAAGAAAAGTTTTAGACTTCAGATTTGCCGCATTTTCATCTGTTGTTGAACTTAAACCTAGAGAATATCAACCTGCCCAAATGGAGCCTTGATCAACTTCTCATTTTTTCATGATGTGATCTTTGGCCTTAAGCTGCCAAACAGTGAACTGAGTCTGCTTTTAGTAACCCATCCTCATCTCATGCATTATTACGCTTACTAGTTTGTCTTGCATCAATTAACTGTATAAATATTTCAAAAGACTATGGGGGAGAAAAAAAAAGACATTATATTGATAAATGCCCTGCATGCTGGACATGTACGGATTTTTTTTTTCCTTTTGCTTGGATATGGACTTTGGAGATATATATAATGGCATGTCATTCATTCTTTAAGTTGTATTTCTTCACCACTTTTTTGAACTGAAAGCAAAAAAGTGCAACTTTTTTTGTCTTCCTTACCCATTCAAGTTTGCATCTGTTCTGGAAACTGCTTTGAGTGGCCCCCTCTCTCAAACTTCAGACTTCTTTTTAAAGAATTGGAAAAAAAACCCCACCTCTTCTCGCTCTCTCCTATGTAAAACAAAAACAGCAGAGTGGATTGTGATTACAGTATTACAGGAAAAAACAAGAACTTTGGAAAGAAGTTTTAAAACTTATGCTTAAAAATAATTGCTGCAATTTGTTGGATTTTTACATGATATTGTTGCTTAAAGCAGTCTAAAATTTATTTTGGAATGATCTACCCTCTTCCCCCCCCCTTTTTTTGTGTGTGTGTGTTCCTTTTTGCATTTGGTCATTGTCAAACGTGCAATGCTATGGGATCCTGGTATATATAATTTAATTCAAGCTTTTATTGTCTGTTAGTTCAGTTCAAAATGTACGCAACAGATAAAGGAATGTTATAGATAATTTGAAAAAAGTTAGGTCTGTTTAGAAGTAGGTCTCTCTTTTTTTAAATGGTGCACTAAATTGTTCACTGTTGTGATGTTAAAAGGAGTAGAATATAAAGTGGGACTTTTTTTAAAAAAAGTAGCTTATGCAGCATGTGATTGCAACTTAACTATAAGTTGGGTATGTGTAGATCTTGCTATGCCACCAACTGTATTTGGAAACCAAAGTATTAAAAGGGGAGTATCCCTGTTTATATTAATAGGGTTATTTTGTGTTCAAAATGTAACATTGGGGTTTTTTGGCGGGGATTTAAATATTAGGGACTGAATTGCACTAAGATATAACCTGAAGCAAAATATAAACCATTGCAAACTTGTCTAGGATGCTAATACCATTTACAAGGATGGCATTACTGCTCAGTTTTTTTAAATAATGCAGATTTTTTTACAGTTGTATTGTGGTGCAGAACTGGATTTTCTGTAACTTCACAAATTCACAAAGTTTTAAAGGCATTAATCAGCAAATTTTATTGTCAGAGACTGATACTCCTGTCTTTTAAAAAAAATGGAAAGTAAATACCACAATAAATATAAAAAAATCTTGTCAGTTATTTTTCCCCTTGACATATTTTGCTGTGCAAAATTGTTTTATATCTTAAGTTACCAACTAATCATGTGTGATGTTCCTTATGTGTTTTCATTTTTCAACTCTATGGTTATATCAAAAAGGAGGAATATTCTACTATAATAAACTGCATTTTTGATTCTGTACTGAGTTTCATTAGTTTATAGCTTTGAAGTATCTATTTAATCATAGTATCTTGGGGGGGGGGACAGATGTTTAGATAACTTAATCTGAGCAGATAATTTAAATATGTGTGTGTGAGCTGAGAATTGACAAGGTAAAATATAACTGCTCTCAAAAAGAAACATTTCATTTTCTCCTAGGCAGATGAAAAGGAAAGACTCTTTAATTTGTCAGTGCTAACTCTTCCAAGTTTTATCATTATTTTAAAGGGGTCCTATGAGTTTCTTGCTAATTATTATTTCAATAATAATAATTAATAATAATAATAATAACAATTAAGAATAGCTCATTCAAACAAAATAAGCCCCCTCACTTCCCCAAAATAGTTCAGCTGCTTTCTGGAGGAAATAAAATAATTTTGCCACCCAAGGACATTATGTCAAACATATGAGCATATTGTTAAGAGTTACTACTATAATTGATTTGTTTTAGATGAAGCTACAGGGAGAGACGATTAAAGCTGTACCTGGTATTCAAAGAACCATGAAACAAATTCGGTGACTCTCAATTTTGGGAAGAGAGAATCACAATTTCCCTTGCATAATTACACACGCATGTGTACGCGTGCACACACATACACACAGAGCAAGCCCACTTTGAAACAGGTTGCTATTCTGTCCTTTTCCCTGAAATCCCTAACTTGCAGTAAGGTAAGACCTGTGAAGACTGGCTGTTTAAAAGTCAAAAATCCCATCAGGCTGGCAAACTTTCTATTATTATTATTATTATTATTATTATTATTATTATTATTATTATTAAAAATACTTTTACAAAAGTATTCTCATTTATGTATGGGACATTCTGCTTGCCAGATTTTGTCCCATCTATTTTTTTTCTCAGTGGGAGTTTTTTTTTAAAAAAAAGCAGTGCATGTATATAATATTTTTTTTAAAACCCACAAAATCTTATTTCCAAGGAGACGGTGAACCGATTGGGACTACCTGTCTCTTTCCTTTACTTTTGTAATTTTGTTTTCATCTATGACATGATTGAAGCATGGACATCCTTATAACTTGGCTGTAATACCATTTTATACAGGGAGAGAAGTAAATTCCCTGTCTAGATCCCTAAAGAAAGCAGGAGGTGGGGAGGGAGAAGAGAAAGAGGAGAGAGAGAAACAAATTTCTTCTAAGGGGTGTAGTTTTAGGTCTTTAACATCCTACTAATGAAAAGCTGGCAGGTTCCACCCCCCCAAAAAAAAAACCCACCCCAAACCTTGTTTTAAATTTACAGCTCAATTTCTAGAGGTACCAAGATGCTGCTCTTAAGGCTGTCCAAGCCGCAAGGTCAAAGGTCACTAGGCTTTGAAACAAAACAACACCCCCAGTCTGGTACAAAGACTGCATCTCGTTTCTCATTATTTTTTGCTTTTGCTTTGGCTTTGCCTATATGGGAAACTTAGGTTGCAGTCAATCCATCTGAAAAAAAAAATAAATAAATCCAGTAGCCAGCCCTCTTTTAGCTCTACTCCATGTTGATGAGCTTGGGAAGCAAGAAAGGGGTCATAGAGTTACAGAGGACTTACATTCTTCCTGCTTGGTAATAGACATGTCCTTTAGAACTTGACCTTCCAATAATTCAGGCATAGCTCCCTTTCAGCCTTCCCTTCCAGGCAGGTTAATATGTAATCAATGGGTAAACTGCCTGCCATCGGCCTATCAGAAAATGATTGTCTCCTATAAAGATAGTAGGGCTTCCTCCCCTCCCTGTATCTCCCTTCCTCCTTCGCAAGTTTACCCTTTCCCAAAATTGCACTGGTTTTGCTTAGCAAGGTTGCTGCTTGCTCTGGGTTTTTCTGTTTTTCTTCCCCACCCCAGACCCAGGATGAGCAACCAGAGAAAGGAACCTCTGCTCTGCATTAAAGCCCAGCCTTTGCAAAGATTCACTTTGCATAAAGACATGGTAAATATGCAAAGGTTTCCTCTCCCCTTCCAGAAACCGTGTCTAGTAAATTGTGCAAAGAAAGAAAGAAAGAGCTGAGTGTGTGTGTGTCTGCAAGAAAACCGTGCCCAGCTTTGTTTTTAGTTTAATATACAAAGCTGCTTCTGAATATCAAGCTTGCCTCAGGGGCGTCTATGCCAATTTTTTTGTAGCCGCCAGGCTCCCCAAAAATGACCCGAAGAAATCCGGCAAGCAAATAGAAAGTGTGCTTGTCATTTGGCCTTGAAGGAACAACCTTGAGCTCAGCAGGGCAAAGTTTTCAAGGAGGGGAGAAAAGAAGGAAGACTCTCTCTCGCTCAGTTCTCCTTCCTCTCACGAGGAGAAGAGAGAGAGAAGGAAGAATCTACAGACAGATTTGTAATGGGCAGCTTGGTTCCTATTTTCTAAACCAGGAGAGGTTTTAGATTCTGCTGATTCTGTGGCACCGGGGAGGGGGAGGGGTTAGATTTGGGCTGGCAGGATAAGGCCGCTGGCGCAAAAGCGTAACCCAAAACTCTGCAGGTCCCTCAAGACAGCGAAGGGGGGAGAATTCTGATGGGGAAGGTCATGAAAAATGTGCCCTCGCCCTTCCCCAGTTCATGCTGCTTTGCCAGGAATCCAGAGGCTGAAAAAAATCAACTCACTTTTGGCCTTTGATGCTGTTTTGTTACTAGTACCATCCTCTCCCTGCATGGAACAGTGACCCCCC